TGTCCCCGTGTCCCCGCTGTCCCCATGTCCCAATGTCCCCATGTCCCAATGTCCCCACTGATGTCCCCGCTGTCCCCAATGTCCCCACTGATGTCCCCATGTCCCCAATGATGTCCCCATGTCCCCAATGATGTCCCCATGTCCCCACTGATGTCCCAATGTCCCTGCTGTCCCCATGTCCCAGTATCCCCACTGATGTCCCTGTGTCCCCAATGTCCCCAATGATGTCCCCATGTCCCCAATGATGTCCCCATGTCCCCACTGATGTCCCAATGTCCCCACTGATGTCCCCGCTGTCCCCAGGCCGCAGCAGCGGGGGGCAGGACGGGAAGGTGTTCTGGCAGCGCAGCGTCCTCGTCCTGCGCGTCGAGCGGCGCGACCACGGCGCCATCGTCACCTGCGAGGCCACCCACCCCGCCCTGGGCAGGGGACAGCGGCGGGTGACACAGTACCAGCTGGACGTGCAGTGTGAGGCACTGGGGGGGACTGGGAGGGACTGGGATGGACTGGGAGGGACTGGGAGGGAACTGGGATGGACTGGGAGGGACTGGGATGGACTGGGAGGGACTGGGAGGGAACTGGGATGGACTGGGATAAACTGGGAAGGGACTGGGATGGACTGGGAGGGACTGGGATGGGATTGGGAGGGACTGGGATGGACTGGGGGGGACTGGGATGGACTGGGAGGGAACTGGGAGGGACTGGGAGGGACTGGGAGGGACTGGGGACACTGGGAGGGGACTGGGAGGGGTTTAGGGGGGACTGGGAGGGACTGGGACAAACTGGGAGGGACTGGGGGAGACCAGGAACACGGGGGACATGGGGACAGGTGCCGCCAGGTGCCACCAGACGTGTCCCAGGTGCCAGCAGGTGTCACCAGGGTGGTTCCAGGTGCCACCGAGGTGTGTCCCAGGTGCCACCAGGGTGGTCCCAGGTGTCCCCAGGTGTCACCAGGGCATTCCCAGGTGCCACCAAGGTGCGTCCCAGGTGCCACCAGGGCATTCCCAGGTGTCCCCAGGTGCCACCGAGGTGTGTCCCAGGTGCCACCAGGGTGTCCCCAGGTGTCCCCAGGTGTCCCCACCTGCCTGTCCCCCCAGACCCCCCCTCGGCGCGCATCGTCCCGTCGCAGAGCGTTCTCCGCGAGGGCGACACGCTGGTGCTCACCTGCGCCGTGGGCGGCAACCCCCGGTGAGCCACACCCCGAGAGGGGGCGGGGCCTGCCCCAGGTGCGTCCCCAGGTGACCCCAGGTGTCCCCGCAGCCCCTCGGAGGTGGCCTGGAGCCGCGGGAACGAGTCGCTGCCGGCGCGGGCCAGGGCCGAGGGCGAGCGGCTGACGCTGCCGGCGCTGGCGCCGCAGGACAACGGCACCTACACCTGCCAGGTGGGCAACGCCCACGGGAGAGCGACTGACACCTACGTGCTGGTGGTGTACGGTGAGTGGGGACACCTGGGGGGGCTGGGGACACACCTGGGGACACACGGGGGGGCTGGGACACACCTGGGGGGGCTGGGG